CCCACAAGGAAACTCAATGGGGAAGACAACAGGAAGTCAAAAATTGCTCTCGCTCCTTCTGATTTTTTTACTTCCCTGTGCTCATTCTCTTGCTCTGTTTAGGTAAAGAAATATCTTTGAAATTATGACCTAACATAGGGCTCATATTGATTAGTTGTCTATAAAATAATGCAGCAAGGAGAATATGTAAAACATGGAGCTTTGATACAAGGTCAAGAAACATAATTGAGCCTGGGGAGCAAAGAATCATTCAAAAATTTGGGAGAGATGGTGACTCATTCATAAGAATAGGCTAGGAAGTTTAATAAAATAAAATGGAGGTGAAAAAAAGGCTTGGTACAAACAGGTTACTATAGGGCAAAGACCATTCTAAATATTGATAGGATTGAAAATTATTTTGCATTGCAAAATTTTTGACTTCCTGTTGTCTTCCCCATTGAGTTTCCTTGTGGGAAGCTGGCAGAGAACATCAGAAATCTCCCTCCCTCCCTCCCACCCAGAGAACCAGGTTTTAGTGTAGACATCTTCATTGGGTGATTTTAAACCTGCCACTTACTGTCAGCTCCACCTACCTCACAAGGTTACTGCAGAAGAGAGCAATATGTATGCCATCTAGAGCTATATCCATTTTGATCATAGACCGAGGACTATCTGTATGCTTCTCAGCCTCCACTGGATTTAAACTTAGATGGTCTGTAAATTTTACAGTACTATCTTACTACAAACATTAGTGTTTTTTTATTCCCCCTACCAGGATTACCACTTAATGTGGTGGAGGACTCGGTAGCTTCACTATGCCTGAGAAGGGTTCTGGTAGGATTGCTTTTTCAATAAGATTGAAAGAGGAGAGTAAATGGATTAGGGATTAAGATGAAGCCAACCCACATTAGACCCAGAACTCCGAAATCAAATCCAGAAGAAGCAGTGGCAAATCTCTTCTTTATTATTGCCAAGAAAATGGTATCATTATGGCTGAAACGCTTAGAAAAAGCTTGGTACTAGATGAAGAGATCGAACTGGCACCATTAATATCTGGCCACTTCAATGGTGCCAATATCAAAAGAGACATACACTATATAATCTGAATATGGAATATTAGAATTATTTACCAGGAAAAGTTTGAAACTTACAAAATGGAAACAAAGTAGGATGTTTTAAGAATAAAAACTTGATATTTTAGAACCAAGCAAATTTAGATGGACTGGAATAAATGTGAAATCAGTTTATCATCTGATAATATTACCCATATTTCCCTGAAAATAAGACTGAATCTTATATTAATTTTTGCTCCAAAAGACACATTAGGTCTTATTTTTCTGGTTAGGTCTTATTTTCGGGGAAATACAGCACTAAATGCATCAGTCCGGCTGACAATCTTAACTGGAGCTTATTTGGGGAGTAGGGCTTATATTATGAGCATCCTGAAAAATCATGCTAGGGCTTATTTTCGGGGAAACAGGATATTTGGGACAGGACACCCTACAAAACAATGGAAAAGTAATTATATTTTAAAAGGACATTGCTAAGGATGTGTTCAGTTACAAGTAAAGCACAGGGTCATTTCTACCATATCAGGGTTAGCGAATATCAAAGTTTTACAAATGTATGTCTCTAATACAGATGCAATGGAAAAAGAATAAAGAATTCTATGACAAATTGTAAGAGATGCTGTGTACAAATTCTAGAAAGAAAGCAATGTTACAAATGTAATGCTAAGACTGGAAAATTAGAGGATCTGGAATCATAAAAAACTTTGGATTGGGTAAATGCAGTGCTGCAAGAGATAGATTAACAGAACTTTGCAAAAATAATTATTTATACATTGCCAATACTTTTTTAAATCAAAGCCCTGTGGATATCACTAGAAAGACATTAAAATAAAACCAGCTACATAATAGCAAACAGAGGATAGAGAAGTACTAATCAGGCAGAATATTTCCAAGTACAGATTGTGGAATATGAATTACTGGTGTCAAATATATAGGTTAGGAGTAGAAAATTAAAAAGAATATGGGCACTAACAAGATATAACCTAGAGCAGGGGTCCCCAACTCCTGGTCCATGGACCAGTATCAGGTCGCAGCATGCCAGCAACCGGTCCACACAAACAAGCAAAGCCCCTTCCGTGGGATGCAGGCAGCACACAAAACCACGCACCCTCCGATCCGTGGAAAAACCTCTCTCCACGGAACTGGTCTCTGGTGCCCAAAAGATTGGGGACCTCTGACCTAGAGAACATAAAACCAGAATATAAGACATATATATATATATAAGGAACAGAAATGGAAATTGAGAGCTGATTTAAAGGAAATCAGAAAAATCACAGAAAAATGTACACCTAATTAGGATTAACCTTGAGTAATATTGGAAGTGTTCTAATACAGACAACAGAGATCAAAAGAAAATGAAATACTTTACAAACCGGAATATTTATGGAGAGAGAATATATTCAAAAACTGATTCTAAAATGAGGTATAAGGGGCAATAAATCATCTTTCAAATAAGAAAGCACCATGTGCAGATAAAATAATCCTTGAACTGTTTAATGCTACAGCAGAAGAGACAGTTAAAGTATCAATAGTTCTATGTAGGAAAAAAAGAAGAAACAGATTAACTAGCCTACTATGTCTATACAAAAAAAGGAAAATGCAAAAGAATCACCAAACCATTGCACCAATTCTTCATGAAAAGTTTTTCCTAAAATCTTACAAGGAACAATAGAGAAATAGATGGAGAAAGAAATGACTTAAAACAGGAAGATTCCTCAAAACCAGCAGGTTTGATCAGATAGCAAATGTAAAATGAATAATGAAGAGTACAGGCATATTAAAATGAGATTTAGCTTTACTTTACTTATTGCCGAAAGGCCTGATCTGCAGATCATGCCATAATATGGAATATATTAAGAATAATGGATGTGCCAGCAATTCTGATTATTCTTCAGAAGAGGCAAGATTGATAAGATTGGAGAAAGAGTGATTCAAAATAAGCAAGGAAATAATACAAAGATTTCATATAGAGAAATATATATAATAAAAATGGCAAGACTGGAAAAGATGATAACCAGATTCAAGCTAAGAGGCCAAAACATTATTAATTATACTATTTTTTTAGGTAAAAAGGAACACTTACAAAAGTTCACTGGGAAAATAAAAGTAGAAAGTGGAAAGCTGGTTTACTGCACATTAAGACAACGCTATGTTAGCTAACAAAATACAAAGTCCATTTCATGTGCCACTCATGTCATATGCTTACAGAAACTCACATCATGCCAGAAGAGGAAGATAATGTAGTAGTGATAGGAATAGCGCATTACTGTTTCCAGTGGTAATGTGTAGCTATGAAAGCTGGGCATTGAGAATGAGACGGAGAGAGGGGAGGGGGGGGATGTCTTGGAACTGAGGATCTGGAAATGATTGCCAAGACTATCATGGACTGCAAGAAGAATCATGAAGTAAAGATTGACTGCTGTCTTGAGCAATTATAAATAAACAGAAACTCCCATTTTCTGAGCATGAGAAGTCAGCATATAATGGACTAAAAAAAAAAATCAACTACTTAGCACAGTTGAAGAAAGATGAAAATAAAGTAGATGAACAGGATCAAGGAGATCACTGCAACGGTTCTTAGAACCATTTTGTCTGTTTTACGAGGAACAGGTTGAGATGGTGAATATTTGTCTATTTAGTTACCATAGTTCAGGCCCGATCTGGTGGCACCTAGCTAACAAAGAACCCAAATATAATATCAACCCACATCAGGCTTTGATTTGTGGGTGCTATTTTTCTGATTATATATACTGCTATATGATTAAAAATAACATTAAAAATAGAAGATTGATTCCTGGGTATGAACATATTTTTAAAAGACAACAAAGTGATCACCAGGAAGTATAAAACAATACAGTTTTAATAAATAAAACCAAGCTTTCGATGGCCTAAAACTGCCATCATCGTCAGGGTATAACCAGGATGCTGGGAGAGCTTGCTTATAAATACAGTCATGTCTGCGCACGGCTCCTAGATCTCGTGACAGGTCCCGGCCGGCCAATCCTGGCCTCATCTGCAAACTGAGTTAATTCTTCCTTACCTCCTTTACCTACATGTGTGTTGCCGTTCCTCTTCTGGCATTATCTTCCTCTACTGCTATATATAATATCTATATCTATATTTACATCTATCTATCTGTCTGTCTGTTTATTTTTATACCTCATTAGCTGCACAGTTATTTGCTTAGGATGGACAGCCATATAAATTTGCAAACAAACTTACTAACAAGGGGAATTTCATAGTGAGAAATTAGAATATCAAATACAGAATACAAGGAGAGAGAGAAGGAACTACTATACCAGCTTCTAGTTTTGATGATGGAAATCACATTAAACAATATCACAGTAATTATTTACTATATATTCTAATCTCCTAAATTATTATGTTCTATTGTATTTATGCCTTTATTCATACTGCTGGAATTGTTGTACATTCTACTTCCTGCTCCTTTCTGCTTTTCTTCTGTATCAAATTTTAGATGACAAAACCTTGACAGGTTTTATAAAATCCTTTGATTTTATAAAACACTATGAATAATTGTGGGGCTTTTATACTGCTATGTATGAATATATGTTTATCATATTATATATAATATCTAAAAGTATCCTGTGAGAATTTCCAACACTAAGAAATTTTTTTCTCATTCTTAAGAAGGGATGTAGTTAATATTATCTCTGTGTAATACGTATGGACTTTGCTGCATGCATCTTTCTTCAATTGGGTCAATGATTCATAGGTGTTATATAATGAAATGTGTACCTACTTGCTTGATAAAGAATATGAGAATTTTGGAATTACTAGGTTATCCTTCGCCAACCTTGGCACTACTCAGAATTCAGAACTGTCAGCAATGGACACACTAGTTAAGAAATTCTGGAAGCTGAGGTCATCTACAGGTGGACAGCCAAGTTTGAGTAACCTGGACATGAGTTTAATAGTTCAGTAACTTACCCTAAATGCGGTTCCTTCCTCTATAATGGTAGGCAGCTGAGATAGGCATATATCCACAGCAAGATCCCATGCTTGCCTGGGAAAAGATAAAAGATAGGGCCATTATAAAGATTGGGCAAAATTATATGCAACACTATCACCTCACCTACAGTACATGTTAAGTGTACTTGCTTTGTGCTAGTAAAACAATTAGTATATACTATATTTAATAACTTAAAGCAATGTATTATATACAGGGAGTGAAACAGAACATAAATCAGCATTGTAGATAACAATTTCACTGAAAATTCCATGGCATGCTTAGGCCATCTCAAATCATTGAAAACATAAAAGATCAGAATCAAATGATTATCTCTAGGGAGAGCATTTCAAAGGTGTCTTTGAAAAAGTCACCACTACAGATGAAAAAGAAAACAGTTTGGGAAAGTTTAATTCTGTTTATTTATCTGGGACATACTTGCTCTGAAACAGTAGCAGATAAAAGTGTGTGTGTGGAAACAAAGAGGATGGAAGTTGATTTTTGGTTTATAAAGAATAGTTTATAAAATTTAGCAAACATAAATATTTCATGAAACATAACCTATCTGCTTGTGTTAGAAGACAATCTTATGCCGGATCTAGCTTTTATAAATCATTTATTAATCAAATTTGTACAAAAACAAACAAAGTTATAAAGATGGAGTGGGCGTCCTCAGATCACCAATCACCCCCAGGGTTGCACACCACTATTAGATCCCCATGATAGTTGACAGAGCCAGTCTTAATGCTCTTCTGGAAGGCCAGAAGAGTGGGGGCCCGCCCCATCTCAGGGGGCAAGATGTTTCAAAGAGTGGGGGCAACAGAAGGAAAGGGTCGCTTCTTTGACCCTGCCAACTGATGAGTCCAGAATATGCCCTTCCTGTCTGACCAGCTGAGACAGATCGATGTAATTGGGATAAGAGGTTCCTCAGAAAACCTGGTCCTATGCCATGAAGGACTTAAAGTAATTAACATTTTGAATTGGGCCCAGAAATAAACTGGCACTCAATACAGCTTATGCAGTAGAGGTGTTACATGAGCAACCCCCAGGGGCACCCAGAACTGCCCACATAACCATATTCTAACTAGCTGCAGTTTCTAGATAAAGTTCAAGGGTAACCCCATATAGAGTCCATGCAGGAGATGACCAGGGCACGAATGACTGATGAGATCCAAGAAGGCCCAACAGACACACAACACGTGCTTTGAGCAGGAGCCATGTGTCCAACAGTGCCTCCAAATTATGCACTGGGTCTTTCTGGGTCCCCATTCAAGACCACAGATAGTAGACATCCAAATACAGAGAAGTCATCTTTTAAATAGATATGCAATTTTTATACTACTGGTAGATGGAATTTAGCTTATATTCCCTCAAAATAGCCTTCCTGTGTACAATAATCTCACTTATACTATGGAATAACTAGTGAAAATTAGACTTGAGTCTTTATAATTTCATCAAGAATCCTTAGGAAAGTGGTTTTCACAGGGCTGTGGAGTCGGAGTCGGAGGAAATTTTGGGTACCTGGAGTCGGAGTCGGCAAACAATGCACCGACTCCGACTCCTACTAAATTTAGATTGGAATTTTAAAAAAAGCAAGTTTAAATGTCCCAATTCACAAAAAGTTATAATTAATGACTTCTCTACTGTAAGAATAAAGACCAATGCATGCAGTGCCTCACGTAACTGCAAAACGAACACGTTAAGTGACCGTGAAGAAGCATGCTTTTCATGTGCCTCACTATATGGCACGCAACGCACAATTAGGAGCGGCAATACTTATACTTTCCATAGTGTTGTGTTCTGCTGTTACAGGGAACGCAGCGCCCATGGGTAACCTAGCCTCTCACTGATAAGGGATTAAGTAAATATGTTTTTTGCAGGACTAGAGACACTTGTATAAGTGAAGGGAATGGAGGGTCAATAGTTCAAGACTG